CGGCTGTAGGTGATCAGGGGGGCGACTCGGCCGACACCTTTCATCTGACCACCCGACATGCGAGGCGAAGCTCTAGGGTCCTGCGCCATCTGACCAGGAATACCGTCTTGAGGGTAGAATCCTGCCTGTGGGCCCGCTGCTGCCGCCGTCGCCATCGCGGCGGCCTGAGTTGGTGACATGTACTGTTGATGCAAGCCGGGCATGTAGCCCTGTTGTGCGTAACCCATGGGTTGATGGTGCTGTGGATGTGGGGCCCCACCTTGGCCGTAGCCTTGCGATGGCAGTATTGGCGACGTCTGCTGATACTGCATTTGTTGCTGAGTGGGAGAAGTTATGGAGGAATTGCCCGCAGCTGGGTTCTGGGCGCCGCCATAGTTCTGGATATGCCCGGGGGCATGCCCGTGGTGGGGTTGCTGCTGGTATTGCGCGTAGTCGGTCATCTTGAATGACTCCAGAGCGTCGAATTATACTGAGGAGCAATAGAGGCAAGCTCAAAGTACGCGACTGGAGGCGGCGTGGTATCGAGTATCACCTCAGGCGCCACTCAAACACACAGACCGAGTGTACTTGTATTGGTCCTTGTGAAAGGGTGTTCTGCAAGTAGGTGAGCCGCGGCGGCAAAGCTGCGCGCGAGGACTGCGATTGGAACAGGCACCGTCGAAAGATATGATGGAGTTGAGGATTAGACGCGACTTGCGGAGTGGAGCCGAAGCGCCTGGTTGGATGCCTGTAGGCTGGAGCTGATGCAGAATGAGCACTCTGCCAATGAGACGATGGTCGACAGTCCTTGGACTTGTGGAGGATGGTTGTCGCTGGGATGTCGTTATGCTAGATTGGGGATATGTCGGTCTCGCGAATGATTAAAGGGCACCTTGAGTGCGATCTTGTTTGCTGATCGATTGAGGATCTTGGATAGAGCGCAATAGCTAGGCAGGGTCACGTTGTGGCAGGGCCGATGACTGATGCGTTGTCAATGGCCACGCTTTGAGGCGAAATCGCTAGAGAGGTGCACGGTTCTGGGTCCAGTGCAGGTCTCGAGGCGCGAGTGTGGTGATTGGAGGCCGACGTAGATCCAGGGCGGTGCACTTGCACGGTGAATTACGAGGGGCTTGTGAGGATGAAGACGCAGTCTAGAGGGCCGCGCCGTGTGGAGACAGAAGCCGTTGTAAGGGTTCACCAGTTAGGAATGAAGGCGGAAAGTTGTCTACACTGTTCAGAGTAACCGTCAGCTAGTTTGGGACGGGCAAGATGAGCAATTGGAGGAGGGCGAGGGTGGGCATGTGCTGGCGGGCGGGCGATTGGAGGTGATGCGTTGGCAATGCAGGTTCATGCAGGCCTGGGAGCACACTTACCGACTTTACTCAGCGGCAGCACGTCCACGTCGCAATCGCGGGCTGCGTCTGATGCTGCGCCGGCGGTATGACGCTGCTGGCGTATGGGTGGTGCAGTCCAAGCGAAGTCAGACAGCAGCTCTGTAATCTTAGTCTAGGGCGACCAGAGACGGTGCAGCTATATATTGTCGCAATGTCGCAGCGTTGCAGCGTCGCAGCTGACTATGCTCAGAGCCGTGGGGTCCCAAGGAGCGGGTAGAGAGGGCACTACAAGATGGTTCTACTCCGAGGCGCCGTGTGTGCTCTTGTCTGATAGGACATGGTAAGTAAAGAGGCGCAGGAGATGGAGGAAGCGTTTGGACTGCGAACGTGATGGCATGGAGAGCCAGCCTCAGGCGCGCAGCGAGACGGGAGACAGGCGGGCGTGCGCGGGTGCGCCGACACGCGCAGCAAAGAACATCAACAGCATGAAGCGATCCAAGAAGTTGAGGGCGATGCAGGAAAAAGTCAAGATGCGACGATGGATTGCAATGCTAGAGACGCACTTACTGATGGGCAGGGCCCTGCCGCAGGAGGGTGAGGTCACGGGTGGAGAGGGATAGGATATTCGCGACTCGTGTTGATTTGTTGGCTGGCTGGCTGGCTGGCGGGCGGGCGGGCGGGCAGGAGGCAGACACGCACACACTCCACACACCACACAACACACACACACACACACACACCACACCACACACGCTGACACACGCACACACGCACAAAGCGACAGCTCTCGAAATGTCTCACAGGCGCGTGCTCGCAGCTAGCTGGCAGACAGGCAGACAGGCAGCAGGCTTTGGCGTGGAGGCGCACCAGAGGCAGGACACAACAGCGGCGCGGCGTGTGGTTGTTTGACGTGCGAAAGGCCACGAGCAGGGCGTGGTGGTGCAAGACTCGTGATTTGGGGGGGGGGGGGGGAGGGTTGGAGGAGGATGGGCTAGTCTGGGAAGGCCGTGTGCGATGCAGATATGATTGGGAGGGGAGAGGAATGGAGGAAAAGGATTGGAGGACGGACGGGGACGGGCACCTGGGTTCTTCTACTGGCTCCAAAATGCAAAAAGGCACGGCCGGCCAGACAAGGATCTTAGCCCAATAAGCGCCTCGCCTGGCCCTCTGCTTTTTTCGGCCTGGCCACCCACAAAAGGCAACCCACACACCCGCGCACGCATCACGGCTGTTACCTGTTGATTGTGCAGTGTGCACTGTGTAGGCTGCATGGTGTGGTTGTAGGTAGAGAGCTCACGGCACGCACTAGGAACAAGGCAGTGAGTGAATTGAAGAACAGGTAGCCAAGTACTATGTACCGTATGTACTCTACTCTATATACGCTACAGGACTACAACAGTGAGTGGAGTGGCTCGGTAGCTGCTGCCTGCTGTCCCGGTACCGGTATGCTATGAACAGGACGCGCCTTCCGACGGCGGGCTGGGAAGATGACGCAGAGAAAACAACAGACAAAGCCACCCACAACAACGCTGAGTGAGTCCGATCGCTCCTTCCCACACCACAGGATGGCAAGGTTGGCCGTCTCCCTTCTTGGCTTCACACCTGCCGCCGCCGCCATCTCGTCACATGGTATTTGTATGTCGCGTCGCGTCCACACCCGTTCCTCCAAGCCATTCCATCGCATCCTCCACACTTCCAAGGTGAACGCTCGCGAAATGGAGGTCCATGGCCCACAGCCCCACGGCCATTTCGCACTCGCACTCGCACATGCCACATGCCCTAAAACACCCGGGCGCGTACCCATAGTACCATATGTACCTACATAGCCAAACAAGCCACCCTCCTGAAAGCAAAAGCCCAACCACGCTAACGGGCCAGGGCAGCATTGGCATTGTGGAAAAGACGCTTGCCTACCATAGTAGTACACGCTTGTCAAAGTACAAATAGGCCTCTCTATCCCAGTAGCAATATATTAACCCAATGCATTCTTCTATTATACCTAATAACTAGATGCATCCCTTTACAAGAAGCATGTGCATAAGAATAGGTATATCCCTCTATCAACAACAATATAGGTACACAGTAACACTACGTTAGCCTTGAAGTTCCATGAGACTTTCCTTTGTACGATTACTTTATTCCTTCACCTGTAGAGGCTGTGCTGCTAGGTAGTATTAGTGTACTGTAGGCTTACTCTACTACTCTAATCAAGTGGCTAAATGCTACTTGAAATTACCAGATTTATATTACATAGAGTAACCTACCTAAGGTGTAGCAAGTTCTGGCCGCTTATATGCTGGTAACTGGCCTCCACCGCTTACTCACAAGGCTTTGTCCACATCGAGCAACCTCCCGTCCCCAATATCCCCTTTGCCGGTCCGGCCGAAACGGTAGCGCGCACTCCTCACTCCAGGGTACCGTCAGCTCGCAGACACAGCAAACTTTTTCCCCGCAGCATCCGTACTCTCCACTCGGCCGTCTTGTCACAGTTGCACAGCGGCGCTGCCGACCGGAACTCCAGCTTCTCTGGGCATGCCTGGGATGCCTGGGATGCCTGGGATGCCTGGGATGCCTGGGATGCCTGGGATAGCCATGAGGATGAGGACGTCTCCATGGCCACCGAACCATGGGTGTGCACCTTCGTATAGTACATACCATCCAGTTTGCCCTAGAGTACAGCCGTGCGCTTCAACCTCGGGCTTGGAACCTGCTGTCTCGTCTCTCTCTCTCTCTCTCTCTCTCTCTCTCTTGTTTTTCGCTGTCCCGCTGTGCCCATTTGCGTCTAGCCTGAGTCGCTGCCACTGGCTCAGTGGCTGTCTCGACCACGTCTCAGAATCGCATGACAACGAGCGACGGTTGTTGTGCACGTTGTTGTGCACCTTGGGGAATTCCACACACAGCTATCCATCATGCGTGCGTGTGCTTGCTTGAACCCAGGCTCACGCTGGTGATCGTCGACATGGCGCGTGCTGCGTCCATGAACCAGGCGCATGTGGAGCTGCAGATCACAACACTGCTCCTTGCTCAGCTCCTTGTCGCTTGTACAGTACCGTCCTACCGCCTGCGACATGACGGCTGCAGCCTCGCCTCGCCAGTTTTCCCCCCTCTTAGTGCAGCCACCATCCGTGATCCTGCGTCATCTCTTGTCCTGTTCCGCACCAACCCGTCCTTCTGGTCCAGCCGCGTTGTGAGGTCACACATTTCTTCACAGTGTCAAGGGGACATTGGGTTTGAGTGCATTTGCCCTATAACCTACTTCGTCTGGGCGCTGCAAGCTGCAAACCCTATCATTCCAAAGACTACTTCACGCTGTCTAATCCAAGGAGGCATGGCTATCAGCTTACTGACCCCCCACGCGACGTCCTCCCAGTAAGCTTCAGCGAGCCAACTTCTATGCTTACCTGGCTTACACACATTTCAAGCTGGCCTTGGCCTTGGTGAAGAACGTCTTGGATGGCGTGCATGTCGTATGCAATCAATGTCCAAGTGAGTAATTACCTCTTCACAATATCAGACACCAGTCCCTGCTACCATTCCCAATCAGATGACCCAACTTTCGCCATATCGACCGTCTCTACCAAATACAGTCCAAATGTCCAATCTCCCTATGCGATTTGCTACCACCTCACAACCTCTCTCTGTTTGCTTGGTTGTTTGGGCTGGGAAAAGAAGGCAAGGAATGATTCGAGGCTATTGTCGCGTACCCACCTTCCATGTCGACTGGTAGTTGCTTCTCATCCAGGTACTTTGTGTACTTTATTCGAGTCTTCATCACTGAGCAAAGCACTAACATGATCCATTCCACATAATCTGACCTTTTAAGCAGCCAAATGCTGGACACGCACTTGACCATGCTATAGAATTTTCCAAGCGTACATTTCTCCACTCGGCTCGAGCGACGGAGAAGGGTCTTGCGGCGTGCGACAAGAGGCACCGGCCGGTGCCATGCGAATGTTGGACTCAAAAAAGACTGGGCCATTGTTGTATAAGTCTTCCAACGCTCGCAACGATAAGTGAAAAAGTTCTCGAGATCAATCGCGTGTTTACTTCTTCGCACCAGTCTTCTTCCATGTTGCGCTGCGACTTTTCCGACCATTCGGCCCCTTTTTCTTTGCACCACCACTTCCCTTGAACTTCAGACCACCTTTGCCTTGCTTTTCACTAGCACGGTGGCCCTCAAAAATGAAGCCTTCTTTCGTCTGCGCCTTTGCTACTTTGCCCAACATGGATCTCGCACGACCCTGCATGGACTTCTGCTCTCCCGTCAACTTGGCCACATAACCACCCTTGGCTCCGGGTCTGAGTAGTTTGGTTGGCGGGGGCGCACGAGTCTTGTCCTTTTTCTTCTCAGCTTTGCATCGTGTCACGCGTAGGATACGTGGGAGTAAAGGTGGGAATTTCTTCTCGTTCAGTTGGAGGGCGGCTTCTACACCATTCTCGTCAACGAATTGAACGTAGGCAAAACCTTTGCCAATGCGGGTCTGAGCATCGCGGACTACACGGACGCTCTCGATCTTGCCGGCTTTGGCAAAATGCACCCACAATCCTTCTTCGACATCGGAAGACGGTCGGGGCTTCTTGGGCTTCTCATCTGTAGAGGCGGGTTCTCTGTCGTCAACAAACGGAAGATTGCCAACAAAAACGCAACGACGGTGATCTACTTTTGCAGGGTGGGCGACGGAGTCGACATGAAGATGGCGGTCCAGAAGAAGTGTGCCATTGAGCCTCTTGACAGCCTCCCGAGCTGCGACCTTGGTGGTGTATACAGCGTACGCATTTGTGCTCTTGGTGGTCGAGTCCATGATCTCCTTCTTTGCGAAGGCAGCCCTTTTGGGAAGAGAGCTGGCGAAAGCTGTAGAGCGGAATCGGATAGATTCGATCTTGTGGGGCGGATTGTTGTCGGCAAGATCGACAAGGAAGGACTCGAGATGCTTTCTGAGAGCCTTTTCGGCGGCCTTGGAATTGATGCATTCGGAGGAGACGTTGCTGAGGAAGACGGTGCGCGAGGCTTTCTCGACCTCGGATGACTCCTTGTCTGTAGTTCCTATGAGTGACTCGTGCTGTGGTACTGCAAGCGGCTGCTCAATCCTGTCCGACCTGTCAGAAGCATCGTCCTTGGCGGGCAATGCAGCGGTCTTGGTCTTGCGCTTTTTCTGCCGTTGCTCCTCCTCCTTTTCTTCCTCGCGCGCGACCTTGCGCATGTATGTGTCCTCTATTTCCTCCTCGCCCGTCCGCTTGCGTTTGTTGCTGGGCTGCTTCTCCAAGGCGCCACGGCGTGCCGAAACGTGCATTCTGGCCACAGCAGCCTCATTTTCCAAGTGCTCTGCATCGGTACCATGCATGGACGAGGCGTCATCGCTGTCTATGTCGTCCACGGCACTGTCCACGGCACTATCCTCATCACTGTGCTCCTCGTCCTCCTCGGCGTTCTCATCGTCATCGTCCGATGGTAAGCCCTCGGAAGCTGAGCTCAATTCTTCGTCATTTTCTGCTCCTTGGCAGGGTTTCGATGGCTTCGCTGGCACGAGGTCCTTGTAGCGTGACTTGGGCGGTGCCTGCACAGGACCAGCCTGAATATCTTGTTAGCGATAACCGCCGACGAGCACAGCGCGCAGTGAGGAAAACGCACACTTGTCTCAAACAGCGAGGCTAGCGTCGGGTCGAATGCTGTTCTGTCCACTGAGATGAGGCTGTTGGCGTTGTTCTTCATGGGCGACGATGCCGTCTTTGCGGGGCGTTTGATGTTTGTTTTGCCGTTTGGTTTGCCCATTGCGATTGTGAATCCAGTTGCGACCACTTTTGTTGGGTCGTGGGTGAATCGCGTTCTGCCTTATCGCCAGGAACATCAGCCAGAAGAGAAAAAAAAACAAGGTCGAGGATTGCCAGACTAGACCATTGGTTGCGCTTGTCGGAGTGGGCGGCGCGCGAGGTCTAGGGACTAGGCTGCTTCGGGGGAGCTTGGCCCATGGCAGAAACACAGGCGGTGAGCATGCACTTAGTACTACATACTATGTAAGTTAAGTACCTAGTCAAAAGTAAGTACTGTTGGGTATGTAGCCAGAAAAGAAGTCTAAGGCCTGAGCCTGGCCAACTGGTGCTGCTTGTGTTGGTGCGCTTGGTACGCTTGGTGCAGGAGAAGGTCATCCGCATCCCCAACTTCTCAACCCCCCCCCAGCTTGCGGCTCTGACTTTTTGACTTGCCCTTGAGCCTTGTCCGTCCCGCCGGCCTGTGGAGCAGCACAAGTCTCCCACCCACGCCCACAACACCTCCTCCATCGCCCTCGTCCATCTCCAGCAGCTGTTCCCGTCCCCCCCTCCTCCCCTCCCCATTCTCCCCATTTCCTCCTCACCTACGCCATTAACTCCCCTCCCCCCACCCCAAAGGCCCGCCAACACCTTCACTCTCTCGACCCCCAGCCTTGCCCACCCATGCCCCCATGCTGAAGACTCCCGCGCGCTGCACCCCACGACGCCGGCCCCCCAGTCTCGACACGGCACGCGAGTCGACGCAGTTTTGCTCGGGAGCGCGCACACAATGAGCGCGCATCAGCAGGCCAGCCGTACGTCGTCGTCAATCCATGGTCCCGGCCGCCGCCATGGCTGAGCTCGAGCTAATGGCCTTCATAGTCACACATACTGAGCCCACGGCGACGCACAGCCGCCCCGACCCCTCGCCCATATCCTCGCCCGCGAGCCACGTCGCCCCGACACAGCGACTTGCGCCCGCCGTCGAGCTTGACACAGCCGCCGCCGCCGCCATGTTGTCCACTTTGACGGCTCCTCCCACAGCCGCGCTGGCCGAGGCTCTGGCAGTCGATGCGACAACCACTCCCGACGACGATGACGACGCTGCTGCCGACAACAGATCTAGCAGTCTTAGTGACATTGGCGAACCCTCAGACGACCAGTCCGACGCCACCCCGGGGCCGGCCACCGTCATAGACCTGGACGATGATGATTCAGAAGCCGAGACGGAGCGCCTAGAAAACACACCACGAAAACTCGCACGCGTAACCATCGATAACTCGTTACTCTCCGAGCCCACGTACACTCGCACACCAAGCAAGCTTGCACACACCAAGACAGTTGAAGTTGGCGAGTCAGCCCCCCAAACACCTTCGGCGACTGCCCTGGAGCCCACAATCGGCGAAGCAGTCGAAGAGGACAACCCACTCCACTCGCTGTCCTTAGCTGCGGCTGCAGAAGCCGCGAGCCTCTTCACTGGTAGCAAGAGGAAACGCTCTAGTGCCGAGGGTACCCCTGTAGATGAGCAGGAAGACGAGCCTGCGCGAAAGCGCAGTAGCACCACAAAGAACTCAGCCTTGGATGGCCTGGCTGAAGCCGCAGCGAACCACCAAGAGCAACAGCATGTGCAGGATGAATTGGAAAATGCTGAAGAGCATTTGTCTCAGCTTGCCCATGAGGAGCTTGAACTGGAGGAGCGCCAGGCCAGCCTTGCCGCCCAAACCGTCACCGAACTGGCTACTGTCGCGAAGCACACAAAGCCCCGCAAGGGTGGCCGCCGTGGGAAGCGCAAAATGGAAGATCCAAACTATGCCTACAACGAAGCACTCCAAGCTGTCGAAGCTCACGACGCGGAGGGCGATGGTGATGCTGAGGAAGACCACGATGCCGTACTCGATGATGAAGTCGCAAAGAAGAAACAGGCCATTGACAAGCTTGCTGAGATTGAGAAGAAGTTCAAGCTGTTCCGTGAAAAGTCCGTAGATACTGCGCACTCTTGACCTGGCTCGTTTTTACTGACAGCATGTAGGCTCTGTGACGAGCAAATGGCCCAGCTCGAACGGGAAATGGAGATGCTCAGGCAGCCAAATTGCGTTCATCCAGAATACCTTGCCATGGTCAAGTGTATAGACGATCGACGTGCTGACAAGATCGCGTATGAGGCAAGGCTACAAGAATACAAGCAGAAGAACCTCGAAATCATCACCGCGGCTGAACGCCATCAAATGCACAGTCAGTACTTCCAGACTGTACGACATCGACGGGAAGAGATTCTTGAAGAATGCAACCAGCGCGTATTCGAGCTTCAACGGGGCCGGCGCCAGCTAGGCTGTGACGAGACCGAGTACATGATCAAACTCCCGGAGAAGCGTTCTGACCAAATTCGACAACAAACTGCCTACAATCTCGAAGTATCAATACTCTCTGGAGTGGCTAAATATGTTGGCTTCCCAGCGGCACCGGACATCAGTCCTGCGCGACCAGCTGAGATCGATCAGGACATGCGAGCTATGAAGGTAAGTTTGCTGAAAGTGCTGCATCAGAGCCAGCAGCTGATTCGACGTTGCAGATTGCAACGCGTGTCCCAGCACCGCCTCCCTCTTTTCGTACCTACAATCGCCTGAGCACTGCCGACGAGGCTGCCGCTGAAGAGCAATTTCTGCAAAGTACACCTTGGGCCAATCCACGGCATCCTTCCCATCAAGACACGCGATTTCCTGCAGATGGATCCCGCATCTCAAGTTATCAAACACCTGCTGGACAACGACGTATGGCTGATTTGACTGCACCCAACGGTTCGGCATCGACCATCGAAGCTAATTCGAACCCACCGTCTTCTAATACGCATAAGCTCAACGGACGGATCGGCGAGTCCGAGTCTCCTGTCTTACAAATGAAGCGACCGCCTATTGATCATACCGTATATGCGGGCACACCTGGTCCGAATTCTCGCACAGTGGGAATCCTGGGTAGGGAGACCTACGGTGTCATGTCGAGTCCGGCTGTACTCAATACTGACCAACCTGACGAGCATGTCGGTCATCGATGGGCCGCTGGTGGCATGCAACCTTTGAACGCAGGTCCATCTGCAGCAGCATCTAGCGCTTTGGGCACAGGTCGACCAGACGCTTCTCGGCCTCCGATTACACAGCACAATGGTCTCGGGAAGATTAGTGTTGGAAGCTCTCTATTCAGCCGATAGTTCCTCTCGGGCTTCAATCAAGCCATGTGACGGTATAATACTCACCATGAGGACATCTGGTTACATTATGAAGGCCATGTTCTGTAGGTTCTTCTTCTTGCATTTTCAACTGGTGTCGTACGAATAGGTTTGCATGTTCGCGATTAGCAAAGCTATTCTTTTATTCCATCGGCGTTTCTTGACCCTCATCTCTGGCTTGATAAATATACCCCCCGATGTAGGCGGTCGAACCTTGTCCATTTTTTTTGTATGTGCAATACTCGGCGCGTGGGCCAACAGTGTAAAGAGAGAGAAAGGCTATGTGATGACGATATCTGTACCCCGATGGGATGAGCAGTACGAAGCTCTTGAGAATTTCGTGCTATAGGAAGGATTTGTCTGTCGCGCACTAGAGTTCGATCTTCAAAATAAGACACCTCAACATGCAACCGAGGATTCGACGTTATTGTTATGCCCGGGCATCTCTGTGACCAAATACGTTGCAGTGTGCTGGGATCGACCGTCCTTGCCTTCTTCCACACTAATGTCTCAGACTATGCGATGATTCTTGAGTGGATGGTATAGTTATGATTACGCAATGGCTGTTTCCCATCTCGACCTGTCCTTGTTGCTCCCTTCAACGTTTTCGTAGTAGATATTGTCAGGAATGACTGGGTGCAGAACCATGTGCACGAGGCCCGAATGCAACTTATATACCATACTTTCCGCAAGCCTCGAGGCTTGCTCGACAGTCTTGTCGTCAATACTCATTAAAATGGCTCGCCACTCATCACGCATAGCTGATTCACCACGCCATAACTCTGTCAAAACCATGGATCTCTTCCCGCGCAAGATTGCTCGAACAGTTCCGTGTTTCGCTACAAATATTTGAGTCATCATGAAGAGTCAACTCCTCACAAATCATGTAGGTGACCATGTGAATGTAAAACCATGATCCTTCGCCATGCTTGCTTTCGATCCACAACATAGGTCAAGGCTGCCCGGCCTCCGGGCTTGTTCGGCAATACGCGCTACACAGGTGATACATTTGTAGATGTTCCAACCACGAGTCATTGCCATTCCGAACTGATCACGACGGACGATCTATCTGCCATCGCGGCGAACCACTACTAGTAATCTCGGCTAGTTTGAGGATCACGTTACTTATCTTGTGCCATCAAAACAGCCAGGATGTAGTAGTGGCAAATCACATGATACTCAGACTACCCGAGCGCATGAGACAGAGTACTGCCTGGTTAGAGACTGTTGGCACTCTCCTCCCTGGCCTCCTCAACTCTACTGCGATGCCGAGTCCGACTCACACGGAAATTGCACACATGCACTCCGCCCAATTGTAGTCTTGTCTATTCAAGCTGGCTGTCTCGGTGCTCTATTCGCGAAGTTTTTGCGGTATGATCTCTCCTTCGAGTATAGACGTGAGAGAAGAACGCTGTGTTGTATCATGGCGTCGACGAACTGATCTCCCAGCGCAAGATCAACACAGATTACGCACACTAATTCAATCTTAGACCTGTGTTTAGTAAAACAGGCGGAGATGGGCCAGGTTGCATTTCTGGCATTCAATTTTTTTATCCTTTTTTTTACCTCTGTGTTACAACTTGATCTAGGAAAAATAACAGAGATTTGTTCCTTTAAATGGCGTGTTTCGACCTAACAAAGCGACGAACGTACTTCCGCAGGATTCTCTTGATTATACTATGGATCCTACCATTTCGCAGGCGGTGAGAGTGTCTTCTTAGACTATTCGATGTTTTTCGTATGCAAATTCATCAGGAGGTTTGGCTGTAGAAAAATACTTTCAACCAACGTTACAGTGCTACCGCCTTTTTTAAACATGATGGAATTCAAATTTTTTGGTAGAATTGTTTAGTAGAAGAAATTGGATATCCCATTATTTGTAATCATATGAGCGATGCATATGTTGCATGCCTCCATCATAATTTTCGCATTTCCAGTATCGATAGAATATCTATTGCTTCCGATGGAGACCACCTTGGTCACCAGTATCATGGATCGCGTTGGGAACGGCACGCTCGATGCTCTCGGGGAGTTTCTCTTGGAGTTTCTGGGGGACGATGGAGGCTTCACCCCCACCTTTAGCATGGCTGATGTTCGTTTGTGGCCCGTCTCGTGAAGAACCCGTATCGTGAATCTAAGATTTGGTCAGCAATGAAGCAAGTCGTAGAAAGGTTAAATTGCCATACTTTGTTGGGCAGATTCTTCTCCAAGCCGACGGGTGCCTGCTCCTGAATTTTTCCAGGAACCTTTGATTCGCCAGCAGCGTGTGATATGCCTTGTCCGTGTTGGTTCTGCATTTTGATAGATCTGTGTGAAGAGAGACTCGTAGGGTTGATCGTAGTAATGGTTGTAATGTTCACTGTTAAAAGTTATTCCTGCGATCGGATTTATACTACCCCTTCGATGGGCCCAGTGAGCCAATAGGCATCATTGACATTTCCTTCATAATTGGATCGTGACGGCGATGACAGCTTCATAGTCTCATTATCTCCAATGATGTGGTACTTCGTCATCAATAATTCATGTACCAATGCGGAGAGCACCTCTGTCCAAGGATATCTGGGTCGACTCTCGGTGTCTGCAACAACTGCCCCCGGGGACCTCACCATGGATGTCCACAAGACACACCTATTACATCATGACTTCCTTCAGGCCGGACATGCGACAGATGAATACACATTCCAGCCTTGACGTCTACATGAAATCAGAATCGCCTACGGTGATTGGCGTCGTGTTTTCAGGATACCTTTGTCAAATCCCGTTGATTCGCGTCTCAAAAACTCATGGAGAATCTCGATAAATTCCTTGGCGACAATGCTGGCGAATGAAAGCAACTCAGGACACCCCGTGTGGTACTGTGGGTGGATGACGTGGTCTTACCCAGCCGCCACACTTGGCAAACGGCTGAAATATCCACACTAGCCTAGACCTGATCGAAATGGTAGCTTGACAGAGTACTACTATTTCACTCGCGCGTTGGTGTTGGGTGAGATCAATGTGAGAAACACGTTGACCCTGGGATAAGCTTACTCTCCCAAGGAATTAGATCCCCTGAGCATGAGTCTGTCCACACATTTCAGATCTCCACATGTAGTTGTTGAAAAAAAAAAGGTAGGGGATGTCAAGGCTTGTACCGGTAACAGTTCGCAATCAAAGTGCGACAGGTGGGATGTGGCAATACGCTCGTGTATCCCTCGTGACTGAGAGACGATGTCATCGAGCGCCCGACACTCAACTCAGATGTTGTTGTATTCAGATTTATTGTACAAGTGCAACCAATTCTAAAATAAACAGTCCATGAAAGGTCAGCATAGGGCGTGGTAGAGGCAAGATATTGCTGTGTTTACGTCGTCCTATGCACTTCTACTCCTGCTACCTCCGCCATATCGTATATTGCGGTGGCCACACGCATAACATCTTTGCTCTTCAGCGGTATTCTATGCGCGCCTTCCCACTCAACTAATGTAGCTGTGCCACCTTCACAGTATTCGTGGAACAGCCGTCGGTGGAGATGTAATCCAGCATCCGCCATACCGTGGACATGAAGTGTAGGCTTCCTCAGCTTCGCGTGCACATGCACCTCTCCGCTAAACTGAAATCCTTCGGAGAGATCGCCTGCATTGACCAGTGCGTCGCTTTCGAGTAGATCCGGGTGCAGATTGCTCAAGGGCGCCCTGCCTGCAAGCAAGATACCAAACCTCCAAATGCAATCTGAAAACCCAACCAAGCTAGGCTGAATGGCCTCACCTGATTTTTTCGCCTCCTCTTCTCTTGCTTGCTGTTCGATCAGTAGACTTGCACAGAGCTTAGCCCCTTGACTGAAACCCATCAAGCCTACCCATTCACCTGTAAAACCCAGCCGATTATCTTCCACTATCGCAGATCGCAAGGAGTAACCAATCTCCTCAATGCAGCTCTCTGTGTCAATCTCTGGATGCTCAGGAAGCCACCTTAGCCATCTCCGAAAGGGTGCGTAGGAACTGTATACTGGGATAATATCAGGGTGCGGGTCACAGAAGAATGGCCCATCAGCCCAGACGAGGTGGAAGGAATGTTGTAGATGGCGAATAAGGCCTCGGGATTGCGCTTCGAAGATTGCAGCATTAACACCCCCTCCATGCAAACAAAGTATGCGTGGCAGTGCCTTCGTGTCAGGCGTTGTTGTGGGGTGATGCAGATCGTTGGGACAGGCAGGTAAAGTAGGCATGATTTCGAATAAACGGATACTGAAGATTAATCGCGTTCTAGTCTAGGGCTTTGTGTAGTGTAGAAGTAACAAGTATTTATAGAAGTTAATACTGTAACAAGGCTAGGCTAAAATAGCTAGCGCTTACTAGATGCCTAGGCTAGACTTGAACAAGGTTCATGGGTTGGCGCTAGGGTCTAGCACTATTATCTGTTAAGATATATATATTATACTATGCGAGGATTACTTAGCTTAAGTATTCTCGTGCGTACCTTTTGGACCATGGCCAAGTGGTACAGGCAGGGGAGATGACGTAGTATTCATTTCACAGGCAGGGCGCCTACCTTGTTACAAATACGATATGTAGTATATAGGAGAGTAGTTAACATTACTCACGCCTATTAGGTTAGTAGGATAAAGTAGGAGATCCTATATACCTTTAAGTTATATAGGATACCTTTTAGATACCCTACCTACCTAAGTTATTATATTATAAGAAGAATATTATCCTAGCTATTATAGACTAGCCTTAAGGGAGAATATAATAAGCGTTAATAATAGTATTTAGTATCTTAAAGGAGAGGTAAGACCTCTATAGCTTTTTATAGGTGTGCAGTGTGTTCACTTAGTAGTAGTAGTGTTAGACTTAGTCTGTCTTATATTAGGCCTAGGCTTAGGTATAAGCCTAAGCCCTTTATATACCCCTAACCTTCCCTATAAACTATTATAAAATTATCTTTCTAGGGGTTTAGGGTTATATCTTTATCCTCTATAATCTATATTAGGCTTTATTACTATATATTTTAGGTTTTATTATTATATCTTTATATTCCTTCCTAATTTATAATAGGCCTATATATTAAGTAGTACACGTGTGTTATATCTATACTCTTATTTTAGTACCCTACTATAAAAGTTCTAATATAGCTATCCTACCCTACTATAAATTTCCTAAACTTACTCTATTATATAACTAAATTTCCTTACTAATTAGCCCTATCTCTACTCTTTCTTCTATTAATCTAGCCCCTATTACCTTTATTATATCCCTATCTACTACTACTAGTGCTAGTAGTAAGGATCTACTATAAGGTAGTTAGACCCTATACTAGGCCTACTAAGATAAGGTGTATACTCCTAATATTCTCTTAATACTTCTTATACTAACCTTTTACCTAGTATATATCTCCCTAGACCTAGTTACTTAGTAGCTTTATTATTTCTAGTAACTTAGATAATAAGGAGTATAATAGTAGTTTTATAAAGCTACTTCCTTATAATTAGTATATTAACTAATTCTATCTCTTTAGTAAGTATAACTATTAGGAAGGTAGTAGTAAGTTCTTCTAAATTTTTATATTCTTTATAGTAAGTTCTAACTATATCTAGGGCGTTTATATAACTCTTACTATTATAGTTATAAGACCTATACTAGGTTAGAGGCTATTCTTACTAATAATCCTAATATCTACTAAGCTCTCTATAACTAGCTTTAGTTTTATTATAGTTACTAGGAGGGTTGCCTCTATATTATAAAGAAAGGGACCCTTAGGACCTTTATAGGAAAACCTACTAAAGTTACTTACTACTTATTTATACTATAATTCTACTAGCTCTACTATTAGTTTAAGGATCTTATATTAAGGGCCTAAACTAATAATACTATTACTTTACTTACTTCCTCTACCTACTTACGCGCCTATAATTAGTATTAGCTTAGTGCTATTATCCTATCTACTACTAGTGCTCTAGTATTTCTACTTTAGTCTACTATTACGCCCTTATATAGTAGTTATAGTAATAATAATATTATATAGCTTGCTACTACTACTAGTATTACCTTCTTATATATTAACTAGCGTATAAATAAGACTTAGGCCTAAACTAACCTTTATATTAATAAGCTTAAAAGTGCTACTAAGTATACTACCTATATTATTAAGACTCTTATTATTAGTATTAATTTTCCCTTATTCCCTTATATTTATTCTAATACTTATTTTTCCCTAGGCCTAGGGTGCTATATATTAGTAGACTATTAAAGCACTACCCTTATCCTACTACGACTACTACTACTACTATTTATACTTATTAACTAAGTCTTCCCCTACTTATACTATATAAGAGCGCTGCTACTACTACTAAGAAATATAAAAGTGTTATAATAATATAGATAATAGTTAATGTAAAGGGCTTAGGCTTATGCCTAAGCCTAGGTCTAATACAAGACAGACCAAGTCTAACACTACTACTAAGCAAACACATTACACACCTATAAAAAGGCGCTAAGGGCTTACCTCTCCTTTAAGATACTAAATACTATTATTAACGCTTATTGTATTCTCCCTTAAGGCTAGTCTATAATATTTTAGTATCTTCTTCTAAATATACTATAATAGTAATAAGAGATAGACGCGCTAGATATTTAGAATAACTAGGTGCAACCTAATATAGTAGAAAGGCTAATATAATAGGTCTATAGATTAATAGAATAATAGGCTTAAGACTTTACTATAATAGCTATACTATATTAATAGAATAAGGAAATACGCAATTAAATTCTATCCTAACCCTCCTCTAAGCCCGCTAGGTTTAATAATATACTACCTCTACCCTCTCTTACTTTATATTACAAACCTTTCCTAGTTAGCTTACTATATAATAGCACTAAGGCAAACTTCTTCTCCTAGTAAATAACTATAGAGTTTAAACTGCGTGTAGACAAGGTCTTTATTAGGGATAAGGAGGCAAGGTTTATATATATTTAGTCCTAGTTATTACCTATAGTCTAGTGCGTTATAGCACTATACTTTAAGGATAGTGTATATAAGCATTAGGATATAAGCAGGTTTCTAGACTACCTAGTATTCTATTATAGTAACTATTATAGGTAGGAGCGCGCCTAAGTTATATTAGAATACTTATATTAGGGCTAAAATTAGCCTTTTATAGAGTTCTTTGTAAATTTTATATAGCTCCTTATATAGTTAGGAGGTTTATATTAGGATAATAAATAGAAGCTTTTATAACTTTAGCAATCTCTTAATAGTTACATGCGCTTAGTTTCCCTTAATAGGGGAGTCTCTAGGATAAACTACAACGTAGCTATAGAGGAATATAAGATAATTATAGTAGATATTAAAATAGCCTCTCTAGAACTAGGTTTTCTTTAGGCTAGTAAGTCTAAGGAACCCTAGTAGAAGTCTAACTTAGATTAGGATAGTAATATAAATATAGTAGAAGTGGCAGCCTTATTAAGTATACCTACTAAACTACTAATATTATATCCTAACTAGATCCTATAGGACCTATTTAATATATAGAAACTAGTAAAGGTCTGCACCTAGTGTAGATAGGGCAGTTATTTTATACGTGTATATCCTAATACCCTATTACTATAACTAGTAGGTGTTAAGATAGTTGTAGCATTTGCAAGCAGCCCTAATTTAGGAAACTAGCCGCCCCTAACCCTAGGCTAAGTTAGGGGTATAAGGAGGATACTATAATAAAGGAATTATTAATAGTAGAGGCTATTAAGTATCCCCTAGATATTAAGGCTAGGTTAAATAATCCTCCTTTCTTTATTCCCCTCCTCCTAGGTAGAGTAGAGAACCTGCAAGCGATAGTTAATTTAGGGTGCTAGTATTTTAGTGCAGTTAAGGAAAAGTTAGCAAGATAGATTAGTAGGAACTTTATAGATATTCCCCCGCAACCCTTGCAACATGCCTAGGGAATTGCTAAGGGTATAAGAATTTTATAGTTAGTAGTATTAGACTATAATTTAGATAGTTAGTAGTCTTAGCTTTTAGCCTATATAGTACCTAGTCTCTCCTATTAACTAATACTAGGTAGACTATAGCTATGCAGAGAGGGCGTTATTATAGATATTATATAAGGTAAATTAATAATTAGGAAGGCAAGAAATATAGTAGTATAAGAGAGTAGGAGACGCCTATATCCTACCTATATCTCTATTATCTTAGGTTTAGTTATAGTAGGGTTGCTAAATTAAGGACCCTAATAGGAAGATAGATAGGTACAAATTTTTATAATAAATATACTAGATATTTTATAGGTAATATATAACTTATACCTAATAAAATATCTAGGAAGTATTAATAAGGGAAGTCCTATTAATATACATACTATCTATATTACTAATAGTATAGTTCCCTATAAGCCTAAGTATAAAACTAGAAAGATAAAGTTGCTACTAGAACTACAAGAGTTTAGGGACCTGTTTAACAAAGAGTTAGCAAGCGGTTTACTACCCTATTAAGGTAGTATAGATTACTATATTTAGTTAATAACTCTCCTAGATAGAACCTAGCCTAACCCCCTATAGGGTCCCCTATACCCTATATCTTATAATTAATTACTAGAACTAAGAATACAACTTACTAGATTAATAGACAAGGGCTAGATCTAAGCAAGCTCTTCTATAGCTAGAGCTCTAGTGTTACTAGTAAAGAAGCTATTAGGTGGTTAGCGCCTTTATATAGATTACTAGATACTTAATAGTATAATAACCTTAGACTAATACCTACTACTACTTATTAAGGAAACTTTATATATACTATATAGCGTAAAATAGTTTATAAAAGTAGATATTTATACTACCTTTTATAAAGTTAGAATAGTAGAAGGTTATAAGTCCTTAATAGCTTTCTATACCTAGTTTAGGTTATATAAATAGTTAGTATATCTATTTAGTCTTAGTAGTGCGCTATCTACTTTCTAACAATATATTAATACTGCGCTTATAGAGTTACTTAGATTATATACAATAGCCTACCTTAATAATATCCTAATTTATTTAGGAGGAGACTAGTTTAACTATATAGAAAAAGTAAAGTGTATACTTATACTATTAAAAGAAGCAGGACTACACCTAGACTTAGAGAAATATGCTTTTAGTATTAAGGAGGTACGCTACCTAGGCTATATTATTAAGGCAGGCAAATTACTTAGACCTAACCCTAAAAAGCTTAGGGCAGTATAGGAATAGGAATCCCCTAGGA